TAAACAGTAAATTTTTTTTCTCTGCCACTTTTATGTGGCAGACTAGAAATTATTTTTCCTGGATTCTTATATAAAAGATGTGTGCAAGACGGGGTAATGGGGCAGGCCACTGAAAGGGCTAGAGCCCTGGGCTCAGCCCCTGGCACAGCATGGTTCCCTGAACACTATCGGGAGTCTCCCCTGAGTATTGCTAAGTGTGGCAAAAATAGGTATCATGGACCAGAGAGTTACATATTTTCATCGTTTTCTTTTAGGGCCATCCTCAGAGGTGCTCAGGGCTTACTCCTGGCTCTGAGCTCAGGGATCACCCCTGGTGGCTCTGGGGACCATATAGGGGATTGAATACTAAGTCAGCTGTGTGCAAGGCGAGCACCTTACCCACAGTACTAGCTCTTGAGCCTCATCACTGTGTTAAAGCCTGAGATTGGAGCAGATCAGGGAGGTGGCTTAGCCATAGAATGATTGCCTTTACACAGGTGAGATCTGGGTTCATAACCAGCACTCATAGGAAAAACATGGGACCAGGAGAGGGCGAGGGATAGCTCAGTTGCTGAGTGCTTGCTTTGCATGGTAGCCCAGGTTTGATTTCAGGCAGAGTAGTCCCCCAGCACTGCCAGGTATACCTCCCCTCCCACACACACCCCACCACCAGAAATCTAAGTGTAATGGAAATTGGAGATACAGCTCAGAGGTAGAAAACAAGCTTGTAGAGTGATTCCCCGGAGCATTCAAGTAATTTCTCAGGCTGCAGAGATGGTACAGGGGTTAAGATGCTTGCCTTGCATTATTAGTCAACCCCAGGCAAAGCACTGCCAGGGGTCACTCCTACGAAACACAGCCAAGAGCAGCCCCTCATATCTGCTAGGTGTGAGGGACCTCCCAGCAAAACAAGTAATTTTTCCTTTAACATGATTAATATATATGATCTGTTCTCATTAGAATTTAATAGAATGTGTAGCCTTATATCATCTGATTTTCGATGGTTACCTGCTTGAGTTGCTTCTGTCCATTCTCCCATTTGGTCCTTTTACCGTTTCTTTGAATTTAGACTATAATTAAAGTCACATGCTTTAACGCAAAGCTATTGCTGTACTCTAAATTTGTCGCCAGTCCTATGCTAAGGAAATGTTGCTATAAACATGGCTCTAGAAAATGAATTCAAAGATCTCAACAATAGACCCTCAGTAAATGCAACATTTAAGGAAGAAGACCTCAAATCCAGCCGTTGTGTCCAAGGGGAGTGGGGTTGGGGAGGAATGGGTGATTTAAAGATTACCAGGGAGGCCATAGAGATGCCTTGCACAAGGCCAGACTGGGTTCCAGCCCTAGTGCCCAGCTGGTCCCCCAGTACCGCCAGGTGTGATTCCATAGCACCACTGGATGTGGCCAACAATTACTCACCATGGAGGCCTCCAGAGAGAGAGAGACCGTAATGTTTTAAGTTAAACCATGATATTTTAAGTCAACTTTTAGTCCAGAGATAGTGCAGCCGGTAATACACTTGCCTTGCATGCTGCAGACCCAGGTTCAATCCCCAGCACCCCATACAGTCTCCTAAATCAGCCAGGAGTGATTCCTGAGGGCAGAGCCAAAAAAGTAAGTTCTGAGTACCACCGGGTGTTGACAAAAAAAAAAAATCCTGATTACTTATGTAATATATTCTTGTAAATTTACAAGCCAACACCCTTCCTTACATTTTACCTTAAAACCACCTTCAAACTGAAGAATGGCCTCTGTCACTGTCAGTAGTGTAAATCGTCCATCATTAATTTTTATCTGATTACCAGCGGACAGTAATCAATAAAATACCAAGATCAATGCAAATAAAGTTCTTTTTCGTCACTGAACTATCCTATGCTGTGCACTGTGCATTTAAACTTCCTATCAAATTGTATAGGCTTATCTAAAAGCAACTTCATTCTTAAAAACATAATTACACTGGGGCTAGAGTAATAGTACATGGGGGTAGGGCACTTGCCTTGATCCCAGTTCAACTCCAGCATTTCATATGGTCCCCAGGAATGATCTGAGCACAGAACGAGGAGTAACCCCTGAGCATCACCAAGTGTCGCCAGCCGGTGTGTGTTGGGGTGGGGGTGGGGGGGAACGATCAACCACCAGCATTCACGTATTCTATACTGAAGTACTACTACATTTAACTTTTGGGGACGGGGGGGGGAGGGGTGGGACCTGAAATTTCTTGGGAGAATTATGTGATCCTGGCAGAGAAAAGGGCCTCTGCACGTGGAGTCTGTACTTCCAGCCCAGAGCTCACTCTCCACCCCGTAACTTTTTTCGCTCACAAACTACTTATAAATTATTTTGTTTGGGGCCACACCCAGCAGTATACAGGGTTTACCAGACTCTGCTCAGGAGTCACTCCTTGCTGTGCTGGGAATCAAGTGTGAATACCAGGGATTAAACCCAGGGTCAGCCATGCCTTAACTCTCTGATCAGCTTACACATTTTTAACCCCTTAGACTAATTTACCAAACTGGTTGAAATTTAAGCTAGTAAACTAAAGCTGGTCTGAAACCTGTGGCTACAAACACAACATTTGCTTTTACATCCATAAAGCTAAATAAAACAATGGAGCGGCTGGAGAGACAAGTCCACTGGGCAAGGAGCTTACCTTGCATGCAGCTGGCCTGGGTTCGATCCCTGGCATCCTTTATGTTCCCCTGAGAACTGCCAGCAGTAATACCTGAGCACAGAGCCAGGAGTAATCCTGAGCATCACCAGGTGTGGCCCAAAGACCAAAATAAAAAACAATGGAGGGCTGGGAACAGAGCTTAGTAATAGAGAACTTGTTTGCCTGTGGTAGGTCCTTTGTTCAGAATTCTGGCGCTGTTGGGGTGGAATTGGGACTAGACTGAGGATTTCAAGACTCCAATGAGAGAAAAGGAAGAAAAAATTGTGTTGTCCTTGATAAATTGGTGTATTGAAACCAAACTCCAGAGGGATGGAATTAGGTGGAGACTTTGAGATATCATCGCTCAAGGGGGTTAATTCCTGAGTGGGTTAATGCCCTTAGAAATGGGCTCTAAGCAGACTTGTCACCTAGTGTTAGACTGTCGCTTCCTTCAACCACAAAGTGGGTTCTCAGCAGCACAAACCCAAAGGTGCCTTGGTTTTGGATTTCTCAGACCATTTCCCAGACAGTGTGAATAAACTTCGGGTTTGGGGAAACTAGGCCAGCTTAGTGCTGGGGAACCATGTGGTGCTAGGGATAAGCCAGTGAACGTTTGAGTTTACATTAAGTCAAATCCTTAGCACTGTGATAGCAGCCTGGAATCTAAAGACAAGGCTGCTTTATTTTTACTCCATGCAACTTTTGTTAAAAAATACATTGTCACTAAACTAGGGCCTAGTCAAAGCCAATTTGGTTCACTTCAAACTATTTTTATTTTCTGAGTGTTGGACCACATCTCTTGGTGCTCGGGTCATTCCAGGAAAAGCTCAAGGGCTTACCAAGTGCTGCCAGGTTCCAAACCTGGGCCTCCCACATGCAAAGCATGTGCTCCAGCTCACTAAACTATTTGTACAGTCTTGCAACTTTTGTGCCTCACTATTCAGGGCTTACTCCTGGTGCTCAGGGAACTGTAATGTGATGCCATGAATCAAAACAGGAGCCTGCTGTGTCCAATAAGAGCATCTTAATGGCCTTCTATTACTCCTTTTCAAAGGAGCAGTCTTCCTTTTTAAAGCTGCCATCTTTTCCTTTACAAGTATAGTAACACATCTTTCTATGGTCAGAATGTTAAATCTTTCCTTTTAACAAATGCCAAGTGATACTCAAGTTTTCCTGCATAATTTTAACACCTTTCTCACTATTACTTTTACCTCAGAATTATTTACGTGTATACACACATACTCCCCAACTTTAAAAAATTCCCTTGGTTCAGTTTTGTAAAACTGTATAGAGTTGTGTTTGAGAATTTTTTACCGGAATACTTTCTATACTGAGTAAACGCAAAGTTTTTGAGTTTTTAAGTGAAAATACAAGGACTCAAGAGGTAGAGCATATACCTAGCATTATGAGGTGGTGCTGGGTTTAACCCATGCAAAGTCCCTGTAGCAGGAAATCTAAACTATTTAAACTGCAGCATTTCTCTTCAAGCAAGCAAGCTTCTTTTTTATTTATTTTTTGCTTTTTGGGTCACACCGGTGATGCTCAGGGGTTACTCTTGGCTCTGCACTCAGGAATTATTCCTGGCGGTGCTCAGGGGACCATATGGGATGCTGGGATTCGAACCCGGGTTGGCTGCATGCAAGGAAAGCACCCTACCCGTTGTGCTATCGCTCTAGCCCCAAGCTTCAGATATTTTAAGGCTGGGGGGAGTTACAATGCTCATGGGTCATTCCCAGTGGCTGGCCAGCACATGTAAGGTCATAACCCCTGTATTTTTGTTTGGGGGCCCACTGGGTATTGCTCAGAGATTACTCCTGGCTCTGCGCTCGGAATCACTCCGGGTAGTACTTGGGGACTATATGGATGCCAGGATCAAACCTGGGTCAGCGAGTGTTGTACTATTTCTTGGTCACTCCATTACTGACAGATCGACTATGCTTGCTTTGGTTCTTAAGCACCATTCTAAACATCAATTTAGTAAACAAAATAATTTCATTTAAAAAATGGTACTGTCTATGAAACAACTTATATTCCAAGTTCTAGTTAAATCACCTTTACTCCTGAAACTTTCCAAGATATGGTGTGTCTCCTGTTAGAGGTAGCAATTTTTTTATTTTGGGGAACACCCAGCTGTGTTTGGGGGTCACTCTTGGCAAGGTTCAAGAGATCATTTATGGTCCCTGCATTGGCTGCAAGCAAGGCAACCATAAACTCAAAATGCTATTTCTTTGGTCCTCAAGGTAGCAGTGTTAAAAAAAGTTAGACCCTCTGAATTGCAGGTTAATTAGTAGAAAAGCCACTAAGGAAAGACCACATTTCCTAGTCACACACTCAAGCACGAGACAGCCACACACACAGAGCCGAGACCAGTTTAAAAGGGGAGGGCCAAATTATTATTTTGAAATTTGATTACAACCGATTTTGTTGGCATTGAAATTAGGTGTAAATTTAAATGGATTAAAACCAAAAACCAGTAATTAATTTTGATAAAAATGGGAGTAAGAGCTTTTCACTAATCAGATTAAAAGGTAGACTCAATTTAGAGCAACATAGAAAAACTATGTTTACAATGATTGTGCCATAGATTCAAATTTCAGTAGTGCATTAATAATGTTCACATTTAGATCTTCATCTTGAAACTGGACAGCTGTTTCTGGGGGAGAAAACTCTCAGTACCTTGTGCAAATAAATCGTCTTCCATGTGCCTTAGCACACACTGAAAATTTCTCCATTGTATATATACAAAATACCTCTACCATCGGCAGGGCAAAATACATACTTTCATAACAAAACTATACCTCTCAAGTATGAACAATATACACATAATACATGGTATACAATATTTACAAGATATAAAATATAATACAAGCTGTTGGTAATTTTTTTTAGCTCATCTTTTGTACTTGTATATCTTTACAAGGCAAATTTCCATTTTCTGTACCAATTTAAGTGTCCAAAGGTTCAAGGAAAACTTTACGTACATACTGAGATTTAAGTTTGAACTTTTAGGAGAGTTTTTAAGTGTACTGCCATCAACTCCCTATTTTGGTTGGAATTTTCAATAGTGCTTCCCATCCAGTGACTAGGTGGCTTTGGAAGAACGCTTGGAGACGGTGGATCACTAAACTTAGCCCCAGCGTAATTTTCCTTTTGGCTTACTTCAGTCAGAAATGCCGACTTCTTCAAATGCATTTTTTTAATGTTCTCCGTATTTTTAAAAGGCTTCTTTTCCTGCTTCTGAATTATATCGGATGAAACAGAATCCTGCCAAAAACTGTTTTCATTTCTTTTTGTAGAGGTGATCCTGGTTAGTGACAAGTTGCATTTATTTTTCTGTCTGTTGATCTTTGGTTGTTCACAAAAGTGTATACCATGAGCAAGTTGGCCATGCGGAATGGCAATTTTCTCGGATTTTCCCATCTTTGTTTTTAAAACCTGTAAGACAAGGAACATAAGTGAAATCATCTCATGATAACAAGCTGTCAAGTTTCACCCAAGTTATTTGCTTTATTTGCACATAATGTCCAAAATATACACACCTCTAATTTTACCACCAAGAAATTATCAAAGATGAAATCTGTAAGTTCCACTTTCCAAAAAAACACCTGCAGTAGTTTCTGGGTTTGGGGACAGATGCCCATCAGTACATGACTGCAGGAGTTATGTACTATACTCATTATGGCTGTTTGAGAAATCTGCCGATAAGTGAAAAATTTGCTAATATAGTTTTAAAATTATTTTCAGGTTAAATATTTGGTAGAATTAGATTCGGCTGAGGGAAAGTTCTGTAAAAAGTTGATACACTGTACGGTTCTGAAAACAAATTTTGTCTCAGATTTAATTGTTTTTGTTTTTTTTTTAAAAGCATTCGAGAAAGGGCCAGGGGTACAGCTCAGAGGTAGGATACTTGTTTTCTCTGTGTGACCCTGGGTTCTATAAAACATCTACCCCATTTCTAACACCTTTTCCATTTGCATTTGACTTGTTAAAAAATGCAGAAAAAAAATTTCTGCCTGCACCCCACTTCCGGTATAAACTGTTTCAAGAACTCTGAGGCACAAATTGTATTTCAAAAAAATGTATCCTTATGAGAGAGAAAAAAAAGAACCACAAATGGATGGTAAAGTAGAAATACTGCTCTTCCAGCGTTTCTAGTTTGGTAAAGAGCAAAGCTGAAAAACACCAGGCGTGATACAAACAAACTCTCGTCTCTCAAAGACTGATTTCCAGATTTACGTTTAAAACTAAATTTATGTGGGGCTGGAGTGATAGCACAGCAGGTAGGGCGTCTGCCCTGCATGCAGCTGACCCGGTTTCAGTTTCAGCATCCCATATGGTCCCCGGAGCACCGCCAAGAGTAATTCCTGAGTGCATGAGACAGACAGGAGTGACCCTTGTGCCTCGCCGGGTGTGACCCAAGGGGGAAAAAAAAACCCAACCTAAATTATGTGCGGGCTATCAATACTCTTTAACAAAATGGTAAACTAGCCTCTTCCCCCCACCCCCCGCCCTACTCCGCCGCACCCCCTTAAATCAGGAAAAAGTCAACTTTGTGACCTTTCAAAACAAAACCAGGAAACGGTTCCTTCTGAGCAAGATCCCTTTTTCCTCTGTTGGCAATGCCAGGGCTGGGGCTTGCTCGCCAGGAGGCAGATTCTTTATTACAGTAACAGCACCCGACCCCCCCGACCCCGATCCCCAAAGTCCACTTTCTCCCTCTCTAAGTACTAGTGTGCAGCGCGCCCCCACCTGGGCACTTAACTCGGGAGCGACCCCTTCCAATTAATAGCCCGGCGGCTCCCGGGCAGCTAAACGTCCTTCCAACGGACGATCTTTTCCAAATTTCAGCCTGCTGGGCAGAAGTGCCCGAACGGAGGAGACTCCGGGACAGCCGCACGCCGCCGCGTGGGAGCCGCCTCTACAGCGACCAAGTCCGCCGGCCGGCCGTAGGGGCCCGAGCCCTCCAGCCGCCGCCGCCGCTGCCGCCGCGCCCCGTCCAGGTTGGAGTCGCAGCCCTGGAGCGACCCCGCGCCGCGGGACCCGGCTCCGGGAACGCTGGCTCCCGCCGGAGCCCAGGGGCCGGCCCGGCCCGTAGCACCCGCTGGGACGGGGGAGCGACTGACGCGGCGGCGAGCCGCTCGCGCCTCTGCGTCCCTGCCTCGTCCATAGCGGCCGGGAATGGGGATGGGGATGCGGACGGGGACGAAGCTAGGGGGTTGGGGGGGGTTGGAAGGGGGTGGACCTCGCTGCCTTCATGAGGGCCGCGGCGGCCCGCACGTAGCGCGCTGACGTCACCCGGAGCCCCGCCCCTCCCGCGCCCAGAACCCCCCGACACACAGCGGAACGCCGCCAGCCTTCTAAATCGGGGCTGTTGCTGGGGCGCAGCGCGCTCGCCCATTGGCTGCGGCGCGGGAGCCAATCAGAGGCGCCAGCGCAGGCGCCCCCTCCCCCCCGCGCCCCCACCCCTACTCCCCTCCATCCTCCGCCGCACTCTGCCCCAGCCCGAGCGGAGCGGGCGTCACGGAAACTTCCCTCCCGAGTAAACAGCCGCCCCGCGCCCGGCCCCCGCCCGACCGCTCCCCTCCCCTTCTCTCCCCTCCCCCAGCGCGGAGCTTCCGATCTCGAGAGTGACCCCCCACTGTGCCAACCGTCCCCCCGGTACCCCGCTCCCTCCCCGCAAACATATACACGCACACACACTCACACCCAAGGCTTGGTGCTCACCTCTCTCCGGAGCGCAGGGTGGCCGGGCGGCGCGAGGCCCGGAAAGGGACCCGCCGCTTCCTCCGGGCGGCTGATGCGCGCGGGAGTCGGGCCGGACGCGGCGGCGGCGGCGGCGGCGGCGGCGGCGGCAGCGGCCTGCTCGGGCCCCTCCTGCGTCCCGCCGGCGCCCGCCGCGGGGCTCCGCGCGCCCTCCAGGCTCAGCCGGTGCTGCTGATACTGGTGGAAGCGACTGGGGAGCTGCCCCGCCGGGCTGCTCCGCACCTTCTTCTTCCGCCGCTTCTTCGGGGCGGCCCGCGGGGTGGCCCCGGCCGCGGCGAGGCTGCCGTTGGGAAGGGGAGGCGCCGGGGCGCGCGTCGGAGGGCTCAGGCACGGCGCGTCGCCCCCCAGGAAGTGAGGGAGGAAGAGGGTGGGCGGCAGCGCGCGAGGGTCCGGGATCCGAGGGACGGCCGGCGGGGCCGCGGTCACCATCGGGAGGGCCCCGAAGTAACCTCGGGCCGGGAAGCCCAGGGGCGCCAGGCGGCCGCCCAGGATGAGTGGCTCCCGCTGCGGGACGGAGATGACGGTCATAGCGCGCGAAGAGGGAGAAGCGGCTCGGCAGGAAGCGCAGGGAGCGGAGCCGGCGGCTGCTGCTAAGAGAGCTCGAAAGGAGCGCGGGACATGGTGCTCAGGAGACGGCGGCGCAGCAACAAATAGCTCCAGCCCGGTCGCCGAGTGTTGTTATCCGAAGCTCCGCCCCGCTCCCACCCACCATTCCCGCAGGCGCCCAATCAGAGCAGGAGCTGGGAGGCCACGCCCCTCCGGCCCCGCCTCCACCGCCGCCTCGGCGAGGCACACAAACAAGCCGCTTGCAGCAGCCCAGGCACAAAGGGCGCGCAGCGCGCAGGCGCTGCCAACGGGCTCTTTCGGGAAGAGCCGGTCCCGCGAACAATGAAGTTCCGTTTCAGCCCCGCCTCCCCCACCCTTCTAGCCGGGCCCTCTTCTCGCCCCCGTAGGCGGCGGTCGCCCCGGCCGGGTCCCGGCTGAGAGGGGGAAGCGGGGCTGGGGCTGGGGGGAAGGAGGTCGCGGGCGGGAGGGAGGCCAAAGAATCCGAAAGCCATCAAGGATGCCCCTCGGCCACTGACCTTGGGGAGGTTTCTTTATTTTTCAGCCAGCAAATAGCATGATTTAGAGGGCGGGGAGGGGGGGAAATTTCCAAGTCTGCTGTAGAGATGCCTCTCCCCTACACCCCCCCCCCGAACAATCGTGGGGAGAACCGCTCCATATCCGTAGCTAAAGTGGGGTTCACATTATTTTTCATTTACTAGGGCTCAGTCTCGGTCGCCTGCTGCCCCCGTTGTCATTAGTTGAGAGTCAGAGGAAGGAGTGACTTAATTGAAAGTGACTTGCTGAGGATCTAAAAATTTCCCACCCAGTCGCTCACTGGAAATCGGGCGCCGGAATTTTTGCTACCTTCCCACTCGGACCAAGATTTGGGTTTCGCAAAACAACGGCCCTTGCGTCTCAAAGGGCTCTCTCTGCCAATGTACTGCATTTCCACTGGCTGCTGGTTGACATCTCACCCGCCTCATCTACCTGCACTGTGTTCACACACAATGAAGAGTTGTGACTAGGAAGCACTTTTGGGCCAGGGACTTTTTTAACATAAACTACCCCTTTTGAAACGCAAAACGGTGTTAAGGAATAGGCCCTCGTGACGTTTTACAGGTGAGGAGACAGGTGGGGTATGTTCTTTATTTATCGAACAGGATGAATAGAGAATGTGATCTCCAAATCCTGGTCTGGCAAAACCAACGTTTCCACATCACGCTTAACTATATATACTACCTGCCACACTCGTTTTTTGGGGGGGTTTCGGAAGACCTCAATAGTCAGATCTCTGCGTATTTCAAGCCTTGAGTCAATATTTTTCAGCCTTACAGTGCTGACAATGTGTTATGATTGATATGAAAGTTGGCCAGAGGGAATAACCTGATTAATGCTCCCCTGTCACTTTATGTACAGTTACTTCTAAAGTCCATCATTATTGACTGGGCTTTTACTGTCTTCTGTGTGTGTGTGTGTGTGTGTGTGTGTGTGTGTGCCAGATTTCATTTTTGTATTTTTCAACATCTAGACATGATGAAAATCATGCACTTCCAGAGCCGTGAAAGATGTTCCGAAGACTTTAAGTTAAATCCTCAAGTCTGCAAATTTAGGTTGTAGTTTTGGAACAGGTGAGGAGAATGGCCAGAGTTGAAAAGAGCAGAGATAACAGAACCTTTGGAATGGAGGTAATTCTTGTTTTTGTAAGTTTCAACCTTTCCTAAGCACCTTTTAATCTGTTATCACATTTTGTTCAAGCTCTAATCCTTTAAGTAGGTATTCCCTTTTAAATAGGATTAAAAATAAAATTTCTAGAGACAAAGTCAGGTAGGGAGTCAGGGGCTAAATCCCCAGAACTTCTTAAGGCCTGGTCTAGTGTTCACTGTCATAAGGCCATAGGTTGACTTTATCTGGAGGTAATATCCACTGTGTCAAGAACAATGTAGCTCCAGGGTCTGCTAATTAGAAGCCAGTTCTGTGGAACTCTTGTTCAAGAACACCTATTTCCTTCTTTGTGGCCCTCTTAGATGAATGTCACTTTCTGAGAAGTTTTTTGTTTGGTTTTGGTTTTGAGGACTAAAATCAAATTTATCTTATTGAGGTCTAAATGGTTCAACTCATGTTAGACCCTAGAGTCAGTACTTTTGAGAGGTAGATCCTGGCCAGAGAGAGTACAGAGGTTAAGAAGCTTGTCTGACATGTGACCAACCCCAGTTTGATACCTGGCACTGCATGGTCTCACAAGTACCACCAGAAGCAACCTCGAGCACAGAGCTAAGAGCAGCTCCTGAACACTGCAGAGTATGGCACAAAACGCTTCCCCTGACCCACAAGAAAAGGGAAGGTAGTCATGGGCCAGTGATGTAGCTCAACTGCAGAGTGCTGCCTTGCATGTGTGAGACCTATGGTTCAATCCCCAGGATAGCAAAAGGAAGAGGAAGAAAGGCCAAGATCTAGAGACTATAAAACAAAGCTCCCAGAAGCGTGTGACCACCTATGCAGCCGCGTGACCTCTTATAGTCTAGGTATCCTTCTTGGAGAACCCAGCAAGCTACTGGGAGTATCCTGCCCGCACAGCAGAGCCTGGCAAGCTCCCGTGGCATATTCGATATGCCCAAAACAGTAACAGTGATGTGTCTCATTCCCCTGTCCCTGAAACAGCCTCCGATGCAGCACCGGTGGGATGGACGAGTAATGAGAGGCTGCTAAAATCTCAGGACTAGGACGAAGACAGACGTTACTGGTGCCTGCTTGAGCAAATCAATGAATAACGGGATGACAGTGATACAGTGATATAGTGATTGAATTGCATTTTACAGTTGTGTATAGTCACTGTCACTGTCACTGTCCTCCCGTTGTTCATCGATTTGCTCGAACGGACCCAGTAACGTCTCCATTATGAGACTGATGGTTACTGTGTTTGGTATATCGAATACATCACAGGAGCTTGCCAGACTTGCCGTGTAGGCAAGGTACTCCTAGTAGCTTGCCAGGCTCTCAGAGAGGGGCGGAGGAATTGAACCTGGGTCAGCGTGTGCAAGGCATATGCTCTACCTGCTGTGCTAATGCTCCAATCCTTGGCAAAGGGAGGGAGGTGAGAGGAGGGAGAGATTAGGGCCACACCTTGCAGGGCTGGAGGGCCTTTTGTGCTGCTGGGGACTAATTGAACTGGGCCTTTGGCATGCAAAAACTGTGCTGGGGGGTGGGGGGGAATTGCTCAGTCTTTCTGGCCCCAGGCTAAAGTTACTAATTGACAAAGGCTTCTTGAAGACATTAGTATTATAGTACAGGTCTTGCTTTTACTTTGATTAAGCCAATGCTTTGAAAAAATTAACTGAGGAGGCCTGAGGAATAGTACAACAGGTAGGATATTTGTCTTGCACTCAGCTGACCCAGGTTCAAATCCCAGCACCACATTTGATTCTGCCTACCAGGAATGTTGCCTTAGCTCAGAGCCAGAAGTAAGCCCCAAGCAGGCTGGGTGTGGCTCAAAAACCTAAAAAAAATTTTTTTAAAAAGTATACTGGGGCCAAAAGAGATAGTACAGGTTGGGCACTTGACTTGCTTGAGGTTGACCCTGGTTCAATTACTGGCATCCCATATGGTCCCTTGAGTACTGCCAGGAGTAATTCCAGAGCTCAGCAGTAAGCCCTGAGCACTGCTGGGTAGCACTGTAGCACTGTCCTCCGGTCATTTATCGATTTGCTTGAGCGGGCACCAGTAACATCTCCATTGTGAGACTTGTTACTGTTTTTGGCATATGAAATACACCACAGGGAGCTTATCGTGCGGGTGGGATACTCTCAGGAGCTTGCCAGGCTCTCCGAGAGGGACGGAGGATAGAACTACTGAGTATCATCCAAAAACCAAATAAACAAAAGTAACTGTAAAGCAAACCAGTTATTAGGAATCAGGGGAAAGAGCTCAAGAACATGCACAAGATTGCAATTGACCTTTGTCCTTTTATCTTTGTCATATTTTTCTTCTGTCCTCTATCTTGACTCTCTGCTCTGAGTATACTTCTTCTCGCACTGTAACAATTATTTTCATTTGTCCTTCTTATTGTTGTTTAGATCTTCTAGGCTCTAAGGGATTCCTTTGTGCATCGAGGAAATAATCTAACTTACACTGTGCCAAATGCTCAAATTTTTTATCATATTAAATTATTTGATCCAAATATTAAAAGTATTTATCAAATTGTCAGACCTTATAATGTTTCTTTGGGTACAACCAGAACATCAAAATGATTCAATTTAACAAAAATTTCCCAAGTACTGGGGCTGGAGAGCTAGTACAGTTGGTTAGGCATATGCTTGCCTTGCAGGCAGCCACCCAGGTTTGAACCCTGGCACCCCTCACCCACCACCCAACATGGTCCCCTGAGCCCTACCAGTAGTGATCCCAGAGCACAGAGCTAGGAGTAAGTCCTGAGCACCACTGGGTGTGGCCCCCAAACACAAAATTTCCCAAGTATTTAAGCATTTATTACAAATCCTATCAACATACCTTTAAAAGTTTAAATTTTACAGGCCAGATGGGTAACACAGGGGGTAAGGCACGAAGCATTCCGGGTTCCAGGTTTCATTCCCAGCCCCAATACAGCCTCAAATATTATTCTCCTTGCACTGCCAGGAGTGATCCAGAGCACAAGGCAAGGAGTACTCCCTGAGAACCACCAGGTACAACTCAAACACCCACCTCTCCCAAAAAAGGAAAGGGGGGGGGAAAGAAGAAGAAAAGAAAGAAGTCAAAGATATAAAAAGAGAAAGAAGATGGGCAAGAGAAATAGTATAGTAGGTAAGGTGTTTGGCTTGCAAGCTCAGTGGTGCTCAGAGCTTACTCCTGGCTCTGCGCTCAGGGACCACTCCTGGCAGTGGTCAAGATACTATATGGGGTGTCAGGGATCGAACTTGGATTGGCCATGTGCAAGGCAAACGCCCTACCCACTGTATTGTTGCTCTAGCCCTCAAAAATCTTTTTGCTGCTATTGCTTATTGTTTTGTTGGGGCCGCACCAAGCAGTGCTCAGGGCTTATTCCTTGTTCAGCACTTAGGGATCACCTTTAGTGAGGCTCAGGGGACCTTACGGACTCCAGAGATAGAACCCAGATCTGCCATATGCAAGACAAGCACCCTGTGTGCTGTA